CCTGTTCCGCCCCTGATGCTTTTCTCCCCCTGCAGGCCCCACCCCTACAGTTGGCCCAGCCCCTGCCCACACTGACTCTGGCTGCCCATGATGCCCAGCAGCTGATCAGGGCCTTCACGGGGGCAGAGCTTGGGGACTTGCGGCCCCAGGGGGCCCAGCCCAGCCCCCATGGTGCTGCCTTCCCTCCCTTGCATCGCTGCCTCAGCCTCACCACACAGGTCAGTGTCCTGGGACACAGACTGCTCAGAGACTAGAGGCCCCTGTCCAGGGGAGCCGGCTAAGGCAGGCCATGCCTTCTGCCACAGAAAGCCCTGCCTCTTCAGGGGGTAGGGTCACAGGCCTTGCCCACAGCAGAGGTGGGGTTTCACTGCCCCCTGGTGGGAGGGGCTCTATGGGTACACCCTTGAGGCTGGGGGAGCAGGGCTGGGGCTGGGGCAGGGTCTTATTCTTCCCACCGCAGGAGCTGGTGGCGCTGGCCCAAGTCACAGACACAACACGGGATGTCACGTGTGTCTCGGACCAGCAGCAGGACGCTGCCTGGAGGAGTGGATCCAGCACCACCCTGTGTGAGTACCCCCCCAGGTTTTGCTCCTTCCCCAGTCCTGCCTTTCTGAGGCAGGGCTTCAGTTTTGGGGGAGCCTGGCAGCCCTGGATTTGGGGGGGCTTTGACCTTTGACGACGACTCTCTTTCCAGCCAGTCGCCTGCAGGAGCTGCAGGGCCATTACCGGACCCTTCTTGCTTCCTGGAGACTTCCTGTGACCCCTGACCTCCCTGTACCCCCATTGTAAACCACTCCCCATGCCTGCTGGTTTTCTGGTCCAATAAAGGCTGCACTTAATTATCTCTAATTGTCTGAGGTCGTTAAGGGGTAGGGAGGGAACCCAGGTGTCTTTGTAGGGGATGGGGGAGCCTGTATGCCTGGGTTCCCTACCAGTCTCCAGGAAAGGAGTGGGATCCTGGTGGGTGGAACCTGGCAGCCCTGACGCCTGGGTTCCATCCCTGCTGGGGAGGAGGGGAAGTGGGGTCTGGTGGGTTAGGTCCAGCAGGGGTGGGGATTTGCCCAGAAGCCCAGGTTCTATTTTTGGTGTGGGGAGGGGTGGGGGGAGAGCGGGCACTGGATTCTCTGCCCTAAAAGGAAGCAGGTCCTGGCTAGGGCTGTGTTTACACGAGACCGCAGCAGTGACTCAGCGCCACATTCCTGGGGGGGGGGGGGGAAACTGAGGCAGGGAGTAAACCGGGTATCCAGGCTCTCACCCCCGCAACCCCACTCCCTCACAGAGAGCCCAGGTGTCAGGGTTCCCAGACCCCCTGCTGCTCCCCCCCATCTGCTCCCCTCACTTCCCAACCAGAGAACCCAGGTATCTGGGCTGCACCCTCCCCCCCCCCTCCCCCCATGACCTGGGGTCATTTCCCTGCTGGTGCTTGGGTGGAGGTTTCACAGCTTCTTCCCCTGCCCCACACCCAGGGCAGGGGCTCTAGCCTGAGAACCCAGGCCTCCAGGTCCCCCGTCCAGCACAGCATGCATGTCCCACACCCAGCATCACAGCCTGGGTGAACATGAGTGATGGAGCATGTGCATGCGAGAATCCCAGAGACAGGGCAGCAGAGGGGGGTGGTTGTATGTGCTGGCATGTTGCATGTCAGGACATGTTGCACAGCCTGTCAGGAGGCATCAGGCATGTTGCCATGTCCTGCACATGTATGCTGAGGAAGAGGGCAGATCTAGCTTGGGTGGGTGGGTGGAGGGAGTCCTCTATGCAGGGAGCCCAGGTGTCTGGGCCCCAGCCTTCAGGGCTATCAGGGCCTTGCACCCTCCCTTCTCCTCTACCATTGCCTTGGGAGCCCTAGAGGGGGGAAGGATTGGGCACGTAGGACCAGACCCGCAGCCCCCAGGATTGGGCTCTGAGCTCCCCCCAACCCTAGGATTGGGTCCAGCTCCCCCTGGACCCCAAGTTTGGGCCCTCAGACCCCCTCCCCCCAGGAGCCGACCCAGCTGCATGAACATCCCCCTTCAACCCCCAGGATTGGGTCCAGCCCCCCAACTCCCCAGGATCAGGCCCTCTGATTTCCCCAAGCCCCCAGGATTGGGTCAAGCCACCCCCTCAGACTCCCAAGTTCAGGCCTTCAGCACCCTCAGGATAGGGTCAAGCCGCCCAGCACCCATAGGCTTGGGTCCCTGAGCCTTGCTCAGTGCCCAGGATTGGGACAAGGCCCCCCTCCACCACCAGGATCCGATGAAACTGCCCCCAGCCCCCATGATCGGGCTCTGGGTAGGGCTGCGTGTTGGGAGTGAGGGGCACTGCTAGAGTGACGGGGTCCAGACGCCAGGATTGGGCCCTCAGACCCACCTAGGATTAGGTCCATCCCCACAGCTCGGCCCGTCCCCCCACCGCCAGGATCGGGGCCGGGGGCCGGCCCGGCCCGGCTTTGCCCAATTAAGGCGGCGACCGCGCCCCCCAGGCGGCTCCTTCCCCCCCGCGCTGCTGGACTGGGCCAGACCCGCGCCAGCGCCCGCCGCCGCCGCACGGATCGGGACCAGGGGCCCGATC